GCCATTTCCCCGAGGCGCGTTTCCCGCCCCTGCCTCGGCCGGGCCCTGCCGGGCGCGTCCGCCCCTCTGAACCCCCTCCGGAGAGCTTATTCAGGTGAAGCACCAGGAGAGAGTTAGGTATGCAGTTACACGATTATGTCAGATAGCCTGGCTTGGCAGAACAGCTTACGCCCACAGCAGAAATGTTTTAATGTTGGCATTACGCTGTTACCCCGAAATTGCCCACAGGCCGGCTCTGTGCTTCAAGCAGGAGAACGGTGGTAGTACCAGGCACCTGTGTTTTTCAGTAAAAATAGCAAAATACGTTTGAAAACCCTCTTTAATAATACTGAAGATGTGCCTTGGTTGGTTACTCTACGGACACGAGGGTACACCACCTAACACTGTCATTCATTAGCAGAGCTTCATTAACCCAGGCCGCCCGGCGCTAATGAGGCGGCATTGCCTCCAGCGCCCCGACGAGCCAGGCAGCTCCTGGGGGCTGCCTGGTGCCATGTGGATGCCTCTACTGGCCTACACCAGGAACGCACTAGCTAATTATACAAAAACTAGTTACAATTTTCAAACCCTAAAGCAAGTTCCAAACAAGGCTTTTTTTTTTTTTTTTTTTTTTTTTTGAGGGGTGGGAGTGGAATTTGTTTCTCTCTACCTTAGGGTTTAAAATTACTGTGGCAACCTTGAACCATTGGCACAAGGACACAACCCACAAAATGCCCAGTATGGCACAGCTCAGCTCTGCCGCGGTGAGCGCGGCCATCACAGGGGGACGTCAGCTCACAGCACACATCGGGATTTTACTGAGGCCATGGCTCAATCACATGGCAAGCCTGGCTTTAGGCACCTAGCCCTGACCACAAACAAAACACCTCTGGGCAGGTGAAACAAATGGCAAAACTGGTTCCGATTGAGCCCGAGAGTTTCACATTTGCTCCAGCTGTTCTGAAAAACATCCTGCTCCCGGGAGGCTGTGTGCCAGAGTGGATATTGCCTGTCCTGACGCAGCTGGCATCAAATCACGAAGGCAGCACACCAGCACACTGGCTGCTCTGGCTAAACAGACAACAGGACTAAGTTGGGTACTCACATAGTATCCTGGTTGAATGAGTACTGTTGGGTGATCCTGTACGATACAGCACCAGTATTAATAACAGTGAAACCATAACCTGGAAAACCATCCTGCTGCAGTGGCAGGCTATAAAGTGGAGAGTTTGTCCTTCAGTAAGTCTCCTGGTTCTCTACTGGCTAGACATGGCCAGGTGGCCCTCGATCAAAGCCCGCATACAGTGTATTTAAATGTGATCTGATCCAGGGCAGCCCTGTGACAGGGAGCACTCCTACAGACATCCTCTTACATTACTGCCACTGACACCCATCTCACCACAACATCCAGGCAACAAAGTTCTGATTTCACGTCAAGTTCCACAATAAAGTGTAATCTGACTCTCATGTCTCCTCTACTCCCACCAGTAAAGCTATTTAGACATCAATTTAGCAGGGAACATCTAAGTATTAAGTATAGGCTAGGTTTAAGGATAAGTGTCATGCACCCCTTCCTGGCACATGTCTGGAAAAAGCATTTCATTCTGATCTCTACATCACTGAATCTTAGAGCCTCCAATTATTTTGGAGTTACCCTTTCTTATGCACCAACACGCAAAAGAGAGCACATGAAGCTCTCTGGAGCACTTGCCTCCTCAGCTGTGGCAGAGAATTATGGACCACATAGGCAGGGTAGACAGATGTGACACCGGCTGAAACACAAACTGCTGCTCCCTCCAGACCTATGAAACTTTATCTCTCATCTCCCAGTTTTTAAAAGGTAGGAGATGTGACGGTCTCCCACATACCCTCAATCCACCAGTAAAAGCACAGTCTGATCTCTCTAGCACAAAGTAAGAGGCAGAGCCCCTTTGCTGGGGAAGGAGAGTGATGCCTCGTAAGACAGGCATAAGGGTGAAATCTGAAATGGTGCTTTGCTGATTCTCTTTCTGCTAAAAGCCAAACACAATTGATAACCCTGAGCAACTACTTGTAAGATACAGAACAGAGCTCCTCTGAACATCTGGCTAATACACTTGACCTGTACTCTGTGTTGCAGGAGGATTCCAGTATCCTAACAACAATACATGCTGCTTGATGGGTGGGTTTTTTGGTTGGGTGTTTTCAGGGGCTTTTGTTGCTTTTTTTTTTTAAAAAAAAAACCAACCAAAGTGCTATTTATAAAGTAGCAAATTGTAGCTTTACCATCGAATGAAATATTTCCTTGATTAACATTTTTCTACATCTTGCTTTCTTTTTCTTTATTTTCTCTGCATATAATGTAGGTATGTGGCACACAAGTACAAAAATCAGCTTGTAATGTATGTACTTAAAGATTTGTAATCTTTGGATCTCTACAAAACTTTATAATAATTTAGGAAATAAAAATACCCAGAGGAATGACTTAACATTTTAAGCGTACAAATGTCAAGTGTCTCAACAGCCACTAAGTACAAACCTATAAAGTTCACTTCCTCTCTACTGCATGGCAGTTTGAGGCAAAGGAGGGGTCAAGGCATACAGCTCCAGCTCTTTTCCCTTTACACAAAGCACAAAAAGAACACATAAAGAGAATTTACATCTGCTACAAATAATTGTAAGTTAATTTTATTACTGTTTTCTATCAGCATTTTTAATTCTTGAGAAAAAGTAATCAATGTTGGATCAGGGCACAGCTGATAAGTAAGGCAGTTACTCAGACTGTCCCTTCCTTTCAGGAAGATCAGAAAACAAAACTGGAGGAGGAAACCAGACATGTCAACGTCTTTCAGATTCAAGATCTGATGAGCAACAGGGGAGTTAAGGTAGCCAAAGCAGATCCTCAGGTTTTAATCAGAAATAGATCAGACACAGTGGCTGCCCTGGTAGAGGAGGGTGTGCTGCAGCGGTGGCACGGGGCAGCACACAGAACAAGAGCCCCACATCCTGACTAGCCCTTCCCCTGGGCAGCACAGACCTGGTCTCTGCAGGCAGTACTTTGTCCAGTGGAGTTTTAAGCACCTGCAGCTGGGAACCTAACGCTTCCCCACAGAGGATCATTCAGCAGGTAACTCTCTGTTACAAAAGCTTTTGCTTAATAGTTACAATCTAAATTTTCTTCTTAGCTTTATCCATTCAGCTTTATTCTCTGTCTTTCCTCAAATGCATCTCTGAGTAATAAATGTCTAAATAACTTGTCTTCCTCCTCTGTGTTCCTTTAACAATGAATAGGTTACACTGTCTGAACTATAACACTACAAATTTCCGGTGCATAGTTTTAGCAATAAGGAATTAGGTGTTCTAATAAAAATAAGGTTAAAACTAGGGGAAATTAATTACGAAGCTATAGATCAATGAGCAAGAGGTAAAACTGCTGAAGAGATGCTCTTATTAGATTATCAGACTGAAGACTGATTTACAGCTTTCACTGTGCTTCCTTATCCATCATTTTTATAGTACACAGAAAGGGTTACAAAGCACAAATTATCTTTTTTTAATGGACATTGAAGTTTTAGATAGGCTCAGATCAGGATAACCAGGCTGGGTTTTTTTTCCAAAATATGAAAGCAGAAAACATATTTTATTGATCTGGGAGAGCTGTGATAGAACTGAATAATACAATTCTCTTTTCAGCCTGCAGCTTCCTAATGTGCTCACCTGTGATGTGTCCAGAAATGACAAGCTCCCCTGCTGAAAAGGCTCCGAGGGTCTTGGTAAAAATCAAGCTGCATGAGGCAGTGGTGTACCTGTTCAGTCTGGAGAAGGGGAGGCTTCAAGGGGATTGAACAGCAGCCCTCCAGCACCTATCAATGGGCAGAGCCAGGCATAAGCTGAAACAAGAGTGGTTCAGACTGGGGTTAAAGAAAATCTTCCACCCCCTGCCAGGACGACGCTCATACATACAAGAGGTTACCCTGACGGGCTGTATAATCTCCGTCCTCAGAGGTTTTCAATACCAGACTAGATTAAAGCCCTGAGCAACCTCACGGGGCCTCTGAGCTGAGCCTGCTGTGGGCAGGAGGTTGGCCAAGAGCACTCCCGAGGCCCCTTCTAACCTGAACTGCCACATGAACCCCAGCCTGACGCGGGACACAACAGTTTGACAGCTAGTGTGTAAGGGACTTTCTGAACTGCACTCAAACACAATTCCACCTCTGAAAGGTCTGGCTAACACTGCAGTTCCCTGAAACCTTCTTAACCTGTAGGTATAGCATAACCCAACCAGTGGCTCAACAACACCAGCAGCCAGCTTACACTAATGCTGCTGCCAGGAACAGCCCAGGTAGGAAACTGCAGGAACATGTGCTGATGTTGACAGCCTGGGCTGTGAGGAAGCATAAATTAAACTGAAAGAGGCAATGAAGATTACTAAAGCCTCAATACTCTTCAGAAGAATCCCTCAGCTTGTCCAGGGCCCCTGGCAACAAAGACAGAGACCACCTCAAAATAAAAATAATTTTTTAAAAAGCATGAATGTAGTCATTTTAATGTAGTGTGTAAATAACTCTTCAAACTCAGAGACATGATTAATTCCTTCTGAAATAAGTGATTTGGCAATTACCGCCCACACTAGAGGCTTTTCTAAGGAATACAAAAGTTGCACAAAACCTGAGCACGCTTTTACTAGCCATTCCCTCATCACAGTCGTAACAGCAGGATCAGAGCTGGACTTCAACCCGTGTTTCATTCAGCCTTGGAGCTTCATTGCTACCTCTTTTAAATAGTTTGGTACATACCAACATCTCTTCCACGTTCTTAGCACTATCACATTACGAAAAGTAAAAAAAAATATATGGAAAGAATCTTTTAAAATATTGAGAATGACTTTTAAAAATTATTATTTATAATTTTCTTTTTGGGACAATTTAAGTGGTTACCATAGCTGGAATGAATTATGGTACGCTGCCAGGGCTTTCAGAAAAGGCCCTTCCACCCCAGGAAAAGTTCAGTTGCTTTCTGTTTTAATGGCTCTTGGCAAGCTTGCACTATTGTTTTGTACAAACAGAAGTAAATTTGATATAAATAAAAAATGGAACTTTATGTGAATGAAGCAAACATCAAATTCCTTAATCTTCAAAAGAAATTCTATCCCTGAATAATTAACTATGATATATTTATAAAACTAGAATAATTGAAAACAGAATTCTAAGTTGATTCATGTGGACTGTGCTGAAATATTTATTATTGCAAGTCCAGAAGATCTGTCTGGGTTTTGTCACTGGAAATGTCTAAACTCGGTGTCCAGATGTTTATTTAAGTTGCTCCCACATAGTTCTAATGTCAATTACCAGAGGTTATCAGAGAGCATCACTGTGTATCTTCCTTGACTAATATTCTCATTTCTTCTGCATCTTTGATGTTTTCTTTCATTAAAATTCCTGGCTCACAGCCACAAAAATCTGCCGTGCAGGCAAAAAACTGGTCTGCAGACATGACACATGATGATGCCCAATGTCTGCGCAAGGATAATATTTATCATCACTGCTATCATTAAAGCAGTACTACAATCAGTACAATGCCAATTTGAAGCAGCTCAGAGAAATACAAGTGAAACCAGGGAATAAGCACTTCTAACCAATATGAAATAACTTGGGTCAGTAAAGAAAATATTATTATGTATAATAAAGATTTTGTGAATCTGTTGGATTTTTTTTCCCCTTCAGGAAAAAGCAGGAGGAAAGCCAATGACAAAGTAATTTCACACGTAATTACAAATGGAGTTGATAGATCTGTAACTCTGGAAACCACAATTACACTGAGACTTTTATAGTAACCAGGAGACAACACAGGCCGCTCATAACAGTGACTTAAACAGAAAGAGCTTATCACACAGTCTCTCAAGACGTCCTACATTCAAATGCGAAGAGTTGGCTAACACGGCTCTTATCTGTTGCCCAAAGCCAGTTGGTTCATTTGGTTTGTAGAAAAATTCTGGAAGATTTATTTTTAAAGACTTGTAAGAAAACAGAAGAAAATCAATTCAGTATAAATGGAAGTAGAGATATAAAATGGCTGAAGAAAATAGTGCCAATGCCACTTCATGTTCTCACGTTCGTACCCAGGCACTAACACCGGTTCCCCTCTTGGTGAGGAATGTCACCTATTCTAGTTCCAATTGATCAGCAAGAGACAGACACCTTGCAACTTCGATGGATAATGGTCTAAAGGACTTGGAAATGTAAATCTCACTGATTATACAATTTGCTTCTCTCCTGACCCTGTCAGCTGGGGAAGCTTTATCCACCTTCCCGAAAGAGCCCTAACAGCCTCGCGGCCAGCCTCGCTGAGAGGCCTTCTCCCTTACTGACACCTGCTACAAAGGTGTCACTGCACCTCCAGATTCCGCTGTGATTCTGTGTGTGCAGTAAAAAAATCCCATAGCCTCTTGCCGAATCACAAGTTTTGTCCCAGAATTTGGGCTCCCTGCAGCCCGAGCTGCACGCAGCCTCCACGCACTGGGAGGGCAGCGCAGGAGAGAGCTTCAATTCAGAGATGGATGCAGGAGACCGCGTGCTGTTACACCCAGAGCTACAGTACTCCCACCACGGTCTGACTGATCTCTGAGTAAATGAAATGTGTATGTTACTAGCATCAACTAACAATTGAGAAATTGATTTATTTTTTTTTTTTAGAAAAATCAAGCAAACAAAAAACGAAAGAAGAAAAACATGGACAGAAATTTTGCAACTGAAATTTCTGTTGAGGAGAAGTGTACAAAGAGTATGTCCTGTCAAGTGCTCAGCTTCAGAGACTCAGCCAAACCTTGGACTGCAACTACTTGCCACATTATACCACTGCCTCGATGTGATAAGCAACTGCATTACTATCAGCTGTGTGGATAGAGGGAGGGAGTATGGATATGTTCAGTAAGCATTATGGCCCCTCTTATCTCCCCAGTGACTTCAGTGGAGATGTGCCAGTTCATGCGTGATGCAGTTATGGTCCCCAATATCAAGCCTGAAAGAAAAGCAAGGACGGTGTCAGTACAAATTCTTACAAGTGTCTCTGTCAAGAAATCTCTCTTATACTTACTGCTGGAGGACACATTTACTCAGATGATTAAAAATGAAATACTTAGTTCAATGACTCTAGCAAGCTGAAAATCCGTTTGCTTCCCACACACATTTCACTGTGCTCATTTGTGTCATCTCCTCACATTCAGTAATTGGTTCACAACTCTTATTCACAAATTCCCTTGCACAAGGAGATTAAACAAAACACAGAGCCAATGTCCCAGTTCAACAGAGCACTTGCACATAAACACTCCTAGAGGAATCAAGCTTTGACTTCTATACATGCTTTCATGCTTCACCAAATCAAGGGCCAATTTAATGAAATCTTAATAACCAAATGATCCAAACAGTTGCTTTAAACAAGAGATGACTAAATACCTCTAAAGCTTTGCCTACATATAGAATAATAATTACAGTATTTACGAAAGAGTCAAATGGAGTGAAACACTCATATCCCACGGCAAGTCAATGTGAATGTAAAATGTCTGGACTAGAGTCAGCTAACATTTGCCTGCCATGATGTCAGCAGTGACACAGCACTGCAGAAGTATGAGAATAAAACACAATTGTTAGCTTACTGAAAAAGAAAAAAATACCATGGCAAAATAAATGTTGTTTTCACACAGCTGTCTTTTCTACTTCCCTTTCTCTCCCAGAACGTGGGAGTTCACAACCTAAAAACAAACATTAGGAAACCAGGAAATCTCAGTGGTGATCTCCACGCATACCACCCTAAGAGCAGTAGACTTGCAACAAAACATGCACCACAAAACTCAGCAAAAAAACAGTTCAGTTCGCACCTCCCTGGAACAAGACCACACCATGCAAGACCTACTCCCTGAAAAGCTTGTCCTTACAGAACACTTTTGAAAAATTACACCTCCTTCTTATACTGCTCTGAAAGATAAGCAAGTTTGGCAAGGCAGAGAACAGCCACCTTTTCCAACAGCAGAGTCCACAGAGCAGGGCACAGCTCCCTCCTACACAGGACTCCCATACCCTGTCCCCGTCATGCCATCCACTTGATATAAAAGGCCAAGAATTCATTGCAGCTCCCCTGGCCCAAGGACACCCCTTGCAGGCATAACTTGCTAACGGCAGAGGATGAGCCAGACGCCACTCAAATGAGACCAAAAATGTTCTGAACGGGGTCCCACCAGAGATCATCTTCACCAGCCAAACCCAGCGTGGTGCACAAGTGAGATGAGTCCGCCTCCTGGATCCAGGGCACTGCTCCCTAAGGGACCTGCACAAAACAACCAGCCAGCCAGATCTCCACCTACAACCCGGGCTACTCTGGTCCTACCCCCTCCACCAGGCTGGTAAAGGCTGCCAGCTTGTGGTGTGTCTGCGAGTTCCACACAGAAACCCCCAACCGCTGCCTGGGGCTGACACGGAGCACGACCAGCCTCTGCCACCAGCCTCTGCCACGGCTTCCCCCCAAAGTTTCAATTCATCATTCTGTAGCATCTGGATATTCTTCTCCCAGACTCCTGCTACAGCATCCCTGTGGCAGGTTTGGAACCCACAGCACAGAGCCATGGTTTTCAAATTCTCTCAATTTGCAGGCCCCATTTCCTCCACGCGGGAACTTGCAGCTTACTGTTACAGACCCTTTTTGATCGTGTGGCCCTTAGGAGCAGTCGGCAAGCCTACAAGAACTGCTACAGTTCTGCTAACAGAACTGCTGGCCTGTCAGCTAGGTCTAACTCCAAAAACCAGGAAAAGCTTATGCATCCTTTCTACCTTAGTTATAGTCCCTCAAAATAATTCAGTATGGCAGCATTTAGGTCCTTGCTCTTTCAAATGTTATTTCCCAAATAACATTAACTTTTAGACTGCTAAAACCTCTAGATCATGTTATCACCACAGCTGGCAAACCAGACTGCATGTTCTCTCCCCCAAGAAGCGTTACAGCTGTGAGCAGAAGCTGTTATAGTGCTTTTATTCTGTGCAGGTTGGAGCTCAGGTACTTCTAACAATGCAAAAACCAAGGGACTACAGCTGCTGCTGCACAGGTACTGCCTCACGTGCTCTACAGCTCGTAGACTTGCAGCACACCACTTAAGCCCTGTCTCTGTGCCATCTTTCAGACCTGCACAACTGTCAAGCTTTAGGTCTTACAGATCTTTTCTCATCCATTTGCATTCCCAGAAGTTTTCTTTCTCTACACAGTAATTGTCTCCTAACTCCATCTCCAGCGCTTCCCTTGTGGAGCACTGAAGCAAAAGGTTCTGCTTTTCTCTAAAATTTGGCTGCAAACTTTACATGGTCAAAACAAAGCATTATTCACATGAGGAACTTCAGAAACATATTACCAATTCTTTATTTTCTACTGGGTTAACAGCCCACTCCAATAAAACAGTCCACTCCCCCAAATCAGAGCAAGCTCCTCAATTCTGTGTACATTTTAAAATGTTCTGGAACTGGAGAACAGTGAAATACATAACAGCAATACCACAGCCGATCAGAAACTTAATTCAGTATGACTAAACCATTCCATGATTCATCCTCTTATTCTCCAAACCTTTTACAAACACCTGGATTGCGCATCCTCCTTAACATAGGACTCGATACCTGACTCTTTGCTTTCTCATCACTGACAAAATCTTAATTCAAAGCACATACCTGTGCTCAGAACCTAGGACCAACAACCCCCTATGAAAACTTTCAGGTTTTGCAGTGGTACAAACCCTTCAGCAGTAACTTAAACCTCACACCTTCAGCTTGGGTTTGTATTCATGCAGCACTTTCTTCCACAAGGACTTTTAGCACAAAAAAAAAGCCAGCATGGAGAACCACACACAGTAAAAAGGTGTGACAGCACAGTCAGTACAGGGACAAGGGGGATGATATTAGCAAGGGGGAGAGATGCAAACAGGCCTGGAAGGGGTAACTTGTGCTTCATGCAACAGCAAAGGGAAAGCCAATACACTTTTGGGGCCTCTTGTCCTTGTGCAGTTACACCAGACTGAAATAACAGAGGACTGATGCCAGGACCCGGCTGGATGAGCAGGTGGCAGCATGGACAACAGTGGTTTGAGAGATGAACTGCATCCACAAGAGCATTCCACTGGCTGTGGGGTCAGAACCACACGCTGCAGGAGGATGCTGAGGGCAGAAATATATACAACTGAGGATCAGATGGATCAACACTGATGTGAGGGATGAATGTGAACAACTGAAAACGTGCCATAAAATAGTGCTGACAAAGATGTGATGGTGAGAAGCTGGGAGGATGAAGAGCACAGAAAAGAGTAAAAAAAACAGGAAAAAGGTGGTAAAAAGGATATAAGGCCTGGAAGTAGCAAATACCTGCACAGTCTGAAACCCAAATCAGAAATAAGGCAGGAAAGCCTCAGCAGGAGGCTCTCACAGCTGTGACAAAACCACATTCAGGTCACTGCAGGGTATTCAAGTGACTGAAGTGTGTAGGAGGTGGCAAGGTGCACAGCTGATGCACCGCTGGTATTTAGATGGGGTTACAGAAAGCAGAAGGCAGCAATGGCAGGAGCATGCACGGCCTGGCAGAAGGTTAATGCAGTGGTACGTGCCATGAAAGGGAATGGCTGGTGCAGAGATGCAGAATATGAACTTGCTTTAGTGACAGGAGAAGTTTTATAAGGAAAAGGGAAGGCAGAGAGCTGATGAGAAGCCCATGAAATGAGAAACCTGTGAGATGAAATGGTACAGGAAAAGAGGCACCACAGATGAACAATGGATGACCTAGTCAAAAAATACCACATATTAGCTTAGCAGAAGTTCCACATCAAACTGCACTGCCAGGGTACGGGCTGTGCCACGGGCCCTGCCTGGGAGAGAGTTACTGCCCGCAGAGAAGCGCTGTGTGCACTCCTGAAGTGGCAGGGACTTTCATCCCCCATCTCTGGATGATAGCGTGCAGCTTTCTGAGCGACTCCCACCTGGAGCACCCTTGGTTTCCAGAGACCCCACTTCTGCAGGAACACACAGACATCCAGGGAGGGCTGTGCACACTGCTGCCTGCACTCAGGGCTGCTGCAGCCTCTGGGCAAGCACTGCCAGACCGTGCAAGGAATCTCTCGGGTTTGCTCTTCAGAACTGAACTCATACTAGGCTTGGAATATCCTAGTCAACAGTGGAACATCGTTGTGAAAGACTTCTCAGGTGTGTTCCTTATCTTTCAAAATTCATATTAAAAGGCAGAAGATGTTATTGTAAGGAAGATTTTTTTTATCTTCAAAGAACAGCTGAAACTTCAAAATACACAGAACATTTTCTCCAAGAAAACCAGAGGGTGGATCTCTTAATTTACAGTATCAGACCATGAAAAAATAGTATTCCAAAGTATGAAAGCAGTGTACAAAAGTATGGAAAAACACCAAGACCTTTAATAAAAATATTAAAGTCTTCAGACTAACTTGATCTCTTCATGTGCTTTGCAGTAACAACCAAAAATGAAACAGCAGAGTCCCTTAAAGCCCAAACAGAATTTGAGTTACAAAATAACTTACCCATTTACAACATAAGGGCAGAAAGTGTTATTTTTAGGTGCTGGCACAGAAACAAGTTCTCATGGGATAAGAAGCTAACTTACAGTCCAACTATCAGGTATTTATTGTAGCAGTCTGGACACATATTTTCACCATATGGTAAAAGCAAGATAATCTTAAATAGATAAAAGAAGTATCTCACATCTACACAAAAGCTTTCACACCTGCGAGCAGTTCACGGGCACCTTAGCTTACTTTATGGACATGTGTGCTGATGCCCTTTGCACTCACATTTCTGTGCAGAAGAAACCTTTTCTTGTAGATGACTCATCACTGCCTACAAAAGTGTACTGAAGAGCTCACTGTGATGTGGCTGAAAACTATGGGGCAATCCCTAAGAATTAACTGCCCCAAGTGCTCAAAAATCCGTTCCCAAATCACACTGGGATTAATAACACTTATGTTTACAAGGTTTATAGTGAACCCTTCCCATAGCTGTAATGTCAAAATATTAAGAAAAAAAAATTACTAGATCAAGCATTCTCAAATCCAGGTCTGGGTTTTAAGAAGTACTGCATAAATATCAGTTATGCGGCTCCTCCTCAGACATCCCTCTGTGAATTCAGTCCTCTGCTGAAAAATAATCTTCATCTCTCACTTCTCTGTATTGCATTGAGGCCTCCCCCTCTGGTTCAAACCTGAGCATTTTTATATTCAATCTCTCAGCAAGCTTCTGTGCTGCCAGCTTGGCTTGCATTTCCTATATAAAAGGTAATAAAAAAAAAAAAAAAAAAAAAGAAAAGCATTCATTTGTCATTTTTATCCTGGTCCTGAAAAAACTAAAGTACGAACTTGACATAATATTAGTAATTCCAGAGTGGGCTTCTTTTCACACTTACACATAACTGTGCTACTAAAAATTGAAGACCTTTTCACAAGACTTGAAGTTCCTCACCTGCGATACGCTAACGTCTGCTTTAACAGAACAGTCACTCGGCCTGAGAGCAGCTGTGCACAGCAACCACACAGCAGTGGCAACGCTTGTCACTCAGCAACACCAGCAAAAGGGGTCTCCATTCTCCAAATAAATTACTTCCCTTAAAGTGTCAAGATGACTAAATTAGCAAGTGCTTCTAAAACAATAAGCAGCCACAAACGCATTGATGTTAGTATCTAATTCAGCTTGGCACTACCTGGAAAATCAAAATCCATTACAATAGAACTTCAAGAACCTCAGAACTCAGATTCTGCAGGCACAGCATAATTAAAGGTAAATGCAGACACTTGCATGTTTTAAGAATAACAAATACTGCTAGGCCTTCATTTATGCAAGGGCCAAAACCTCCTTAAGACTAATAGGCAAGGTACACATTTAAATTTCTAGTCGGTGATGAAGTGAGTGCAATGAGGTTAGAGTAGCAATGCATAAAGAGTAACACTACATTTTGTTTAATGCAGGAATAACAGTTTCAGAAAGGATTAATAAGTTATTAGATCATTAAAAGAATCACATACAAGAAAAAGTGTCTCTCCTCAAAGTCTGGCCATCTTAATTTCAACATCAGATTCATCAGTATGAAAAGATCCCTTCATGCTCTTTTTTAGGAGTGATCCCAATCATACAATTACTTTCCAGACCAAACTGTAAACTCGTACCTCATAAGCTTCTTTCTGCTGTATCTGAATGGCTATGGATTCCTCTATGGACAGCAGCTGAGCAGGGGAATGGTGAAGCGGCGGCAGCCGAGCTGCTGTGATGTCATTCAAATGTTTCTTGTCTCTAAGTCGCCTTTCCTCAGCAGTCACTGGAGAGCCAAACCCGCCAGGTGACTGGCTGGCTGAGGAACTGTGCGATGATCCACTCGGGTCTCCTGACAATCTGGAAGAGATAAAAGTTGCAACCCAAATTTGCAGCACAAGTTTGAACAACTTCAGTTCCAAAATTTGTTATTTTCAACAAGCAAAATCTGAAAAGAAATATGAAGTGTTATGACACCATAAACAAATAAAAAATAAGCAGCACTCAGAAAAACCACAAAGATTTCTCTACAGAGAGACAATATCACAGGTTACAGCTGACAGTGAACAAACCCCAGTTAGTTAGCAAGCATGCAGCAGCAATGCTTTGGGGGTCACACAGAGCATGAACTGCTGCTGCCACCAGTACACACAAGGGGAACTGTCATTTCCCTGGAGGGGCAGGAAAAGCAACAGGTCACCTTCTGTTAAAGTTCTACGAGTTCTAGATCTGACCCACAAGAAAGTTCTGCAGCTTAAGCTGTGAAACTCTGAAGGGTCACGACAATTGTTTCAAATGGGTGGAATCAGAGCACTGCTCAACACCGAGATTCTGTGGCACCGACTGCTCAAGAGCCAACATATGAACCTTTGCATGTTGTCTGACTTCACATCTCTTTAATCACCACAGGAAAATAAATCCACCATCTCGTTCTTTACCACGTTCAATTTTATACCAGTCAATTATTTCACAAAAGGTTTTCTATTACATAATACTTACACATTTGTTTTAAATTTGCTTTTTTTTACGACTGGGTTCTTGGCTCTGGACTCTAGGACTTCAATATAATGTGGTGTCTTGGGGTGCAGGCTTCCAAAGATACTGCCCTTATGTTTAGCCACATTCTGCTCTTCTTCCAACATTTCTTCACTATTATTCCCATCTACAATTGAAACTTTTTGAAAGGCATCGACCAACACATCTTTACTGTTGTCCAAAGCACCTGTACTTTCTGTGCCATCCTCAATATTGCCCTGAGATACCCGCTGATCATTTTTCAGATGACTGCTCGTGGCTGACTTGGAGCTGACTTCACAAACCAGATTCTGTTCTTTTGTAACAGTCTTTACTGTATCATTTTTCCTCTGAGTCCTTTGTTTTTCCAGAGCTACATTCGTGGCATCTTGCTCAACAGATTCTGCCTCCTGCTGTTGGGAAGAAATCTCAGAAGCTTCTTTAATATTAGAGTTTTCATTGAAGACTGAGGAATCTTCACAGTTTAGCGTGGCCTCATTCAGGGTAACTTGCTGTTTGCTTGTATTAATCTCCTCCTGTTTCACCTGAAACTTCAACCTGACAGCAGATAACAGCTCAGCTGTTTGTTCTAATTCTTCCTCTTCTAAAATAGCAAGCTTCAGCTTTTCAGCAAAATCTGAGATCTTCTTACCCTTATCTGGAAGCCTTGCAATGAATTTCCTAAGACCAAAAAAAAATAATTATTTGACAGTGTATAAACAATCCTATTTCAATCTGAGATGCAGAATTATTAGAATAGTTAGTGTGGCAGGGTTCTTATTCTAACAGTAAGTTTCTTATTTACATACTAGATTTCTGACAAGTGGTAAGATGCAGAGCACTGGCACCCTCGCGTATACTGTGATAAAGCGACTACTACATCTCTTCCTGTTCAGAGATGTAACCGCTGCTCTGCAAGTATCATTTAGTATTTTCTGCAAAGTGGAGTACACGGATTCTCGTGTCCGTATTCACGGAAAGAGCCGCTCCGGCCGTCTCTGGGGACGGCGCAGGCTGCAGAACCAGGGCCGGGCGCCATGGGAAGGCCAAGCCCGGCTGCGCCGCCGTCCCCCGGCCTGAGGCAGCGGCGGGGACAGGGCCCGCGGGGAGGCGCTGGGG